CAAGTGACTGCAACAGCCTGTTCTGTGCCAATCCAAAGCCAGGAGCCAGGAACTTCCTCCAGGTCTCCCACGTGGGTGCAGGGTCCCAAGGCTTTGGGCCATCCTTGACTGCTTTCCCAGGCCACAAGCAGGGAGCTGGATGGGAATTGGGGCAGCCGGGATTAGAACCGGTGGCCATATGGGATTTTGGCACATTCAAGGTGTGGACTTTAGCTGCTAGGCCATTGCGCCGGGCCCATACATGACAGATTCTTTTGTTATTGAATATGCTCTTGCTTATCTAGAATGCTCTTCTCTTTAGCAAATTCCTTACTGCCTCAAGATTGGTTTGATGCCACCTCTCATGGTTTCCCTCCGGAGGGTTAATTGCTTCACTTTCCGTGCTACTGTGGCACTTTGGTCATATTTCAGTAGTAGCACTTGTGTAGAATAGTAGCACCTGACAGAGCCTAGGATTCTGTTAGTATGTGTTGTACTGTTATCCCATGTGATTTGTGGTAAGCCCATAGTATAGGTGTATGTTCTCTCATTTTTTAAAAGCTTTGTATGTTGTTTGAAAGAGAGATAGGGAGAGACCCCTGTCTTTCATCCATTAGTTCACCCCGTAAGTTGCTGCACTGGTGAGAGGGCTGAATCAGGCTGAAGCCAGGAGTCAGGGACTCCATCTGGGTCTTCCACATGGGTGGCACTTGGGCCGTCTTCAGCTGCTTTCATGGACATCTTACCAGGAAGATGGTTCAGAAGCACAGCAGACAGTATTTGAACCAGCCTTCACATTGGATGCTAGTATTGGTGTGTCGTATGTGGTGGCTTACTGTGCTACACCACAGTGGGAGCCCCCAAATGGACTCTAGGATCCCATTTTACAAGTGGAACTTAATTAAAGACCTAGCTTCCAGATAGTTTGGATTAGTCTCAGCCTTTAACCTCTGCATACTTCCTTCTTATAATTTATCTTATCTCATTGGACTTAGAACTCCTTGAATGTAAAATCTTTGCCTGTTTTATGTATTTTTATAGTATTGAGTCAGGATTTGATACAAAGAATCCACTCAGATATTTGAGTTAGTGGTTGAATGAAGGCAGGTGGTAAGGAGAGGCTTAGTAGAGTGTAAATATCCAGACTTTAGAATTTAACTTTCTGTTGTGTTGTGTATTACCTAGGCCACCTATTAGTTTCTGTAATTCCCTGTAAAGTGAGTTAAGGGACGTTCATGAATGAATGTTGTATTCTAGAGAGTAATAATGTTGCATTATTATATATAATTATAGTGATTGTCTCTTATTTGAGTGTCCTTTCATATGTACTTTTCTATGGATTACTCAGTTTTTTCAAAATGTGAGGAGACAAGAGTATACTATCATCAGCTAGTGGCTAAAGAAATAATACATCCCAGTGCGTCCCAGAGGAATTCTTTTTTCTGTTGGTACACTCCTCAAGTGGCTGCAATGGCCCGAGCTGAGCCAGTCTGAAGCCAGGAGCCAGAAGCTTCTTCTAAGTCTCCCATGTGAATGCAGAGTCCCAAAACGTTGGTCCATCCTCCACTGCTTTTCCATTCCATGAGCAGGGAGTTGGAAGGAAAGTGGAACGACTAGGACGTGAATCGGTGCCCATACAGGATCCTGGAGAATGCAGGGCTAGGATTTAACCACTAGGTTACCATGCTGGGTCCAAGAGGAATTCTTAACAGTTATTTCTCTGCCATTTTCAATGCCTCAAGAGTTTTGTTTGCTGTATTTTTCAGGCATTTGTGAAAAAAGATTGACCCCTGTGGGAGTATTTAAGTTAGTAATTTTTCAGTGTGGAGCTGTTTAAGAGAGCCAGTTCTTGTCATAATCAGATTATCCAGAAAGTTTGAAATGTCAAGCAGGTGTACATGTATTTTTAGATGATGTGGTGTGTTCCTACCTTTGACCCAGTGCCATGTGTTTTCGACTTCTTGTTTGTTGAAGCTGCTAGCCAATTCATTCCTTCCAGAGTACATAGAATTGGATTTACTTAATAAGTGAGGTTTATTCTTTAATTATTCACTGTCTCAGCAGTGTTTTAATGTCCATTACTCTGTGTCTCCTAATCTGTGTGGTAATACTGTAGTATGATCATGTGGGTATTATAACTGCAGAAACAGGCCTGGGGAGAGGCTTGCGGATTTGCCCAAGGTTATACAGTTAGCAAATTGGTGGTGTATTAAGATTTCTAGTTTCTCTAACTTCGAAGAATTTTTGCTTTCATAATAATTCACTAGAAATTGTTGTATATTGTACTATGATTACAGAAATAACAGTGACGAATTGGAATTAATAAGGAATTTAAAAATGGAATTTTGTGTACTTTCTAAGTTGAAATAACTTAATTTTTGTTGGAAAGCAAAATTATTGAAATATTTTTTTCAAGATTTATTTATCTGGCCTGATGCACTGGCCCAATGGCTAAATCCTTAACCTTGTAAACACCTAGATCCTATGTGGGTGCTGGTTTGGGTCCCAGCTGCTCTACTTCCCATCCAGCTCCCTGCTTGTGCCTGGGAAAGCAGTAGGCGACAGCCCAAAGCCTTGGGACCCTGCACCTGCATGCGACCTGGAAGGAGCTCTTGGCTTTGGATGGGCTCAGCTCCAGCTGTTGGGGCTACTGGGGATAACTAGCAGATGGAGCTCTCTTTGTCTCCTTCTCTGCAGAAATCTGATCTTTCTGATAAAAATCAATATATCTTTGGGCCCGGCGCGGTGGCGCAAGTGGTTAAAGGTCCTCGCCTTGCACGCCCGGGATCCCATATGGGCGCCGGTTCTAATCCCGGCAGCCCCGCTTCCCTTCCAGCTCCCTGCCTGTGGCCCGGGAAAGCAGTCGAGGACAGCCCAAAGCTTTGGGAACCTGCACCCGCGTGGGAGACCTGGAAGAGGCTCCTGGCTTCAGATCAGCATAGTATCGGCCCGTTGCGCTCACTTGGGGAGTGAATCATCGGACGGAAGATCTTCCTCTCTGTCTCTCCTCTCTGTATATCCGCCTTTCCAATGAAAAAATAATAAAAATAAATCTTTTAAAAAAATCAATATATCTTTGAAAAAAAATTGATTTATCTGAAAGAGTTACAGAGAGAGTGAAATCATCATGCGCTGATTCACTCTGTAAATGACAGCAATGCCCATGGCTGGGTCAGGCTGAAACCAGGAGTCATGAGCTTCCTCTGGGTCCTCTGTGTGGATTCCATTTGGGTGCTGGTTTGTGTCCCACCTGCTCTGCTTCCCTTCCAGCTCCCTGCTGTGGTCTGGGAAAGCAGCAGCAGATGGCTCAAGTCCTTGGAAACCTGTACCCACATGGGAGACCTGGGGGGAGCTTCTTGCTCCTGACTTCAGATCAGTTCAGTTCCATAGGTTGGCGACCTTTTTTTTTTTTAAGATTTATTTATTTTTATTGGAAAGGCATATATACAGAGAGGAGGAGGAGATAGAGAGGAAGATCTTCCATCTGCTGATTTATTTTCCAAGTGACCGCAACCACCAGTGAGTGCTGTGCCAATCTAAAGCCAGGAGCCCAGAGTCTCCTCCAGATCTCCTATGCGGGTACAGGGCTCCAGGGCTTTGGGCCGTCCTCGACTGCTTTTCCAGGCCACAGGCAGGGAGCTGGATGGGAAGCGGGGTTGTCAGGATTAGGACCAACAACCATATGGCATCCTGGCGCCTGTGAGACAAGAACTTGAACCACTATGCTATTGCGCTGGACCCATGTTGGCAGCCTTTGAGAGAGTGAACCAATGGATGGAAGATCTTTCTTTTTTTCTCTTGGTAAATCTGCCTTTTCAGTGAAAATAAATAATTTTTTTTTTAAAGATTTATTTTTATTATTTTTTCATTGGAAAGGCGGATATACAGAGAGGAGAGACAGAGAGGAAGATCTTCCGCCCGATGATTCACTCCCCAAGTGAGCGCAACAGGCCGATACTATGCCGATCCGAAGCCAGGAGCCTCTTCCAGGTCTCCCACGCGGGTGCAGGGTCCCAAAGCTTTGGGCTGTCCTCGACTGCTTTCCCAGGCCACAGGCAGGGAGCTGGAAGGGAAGCGGGGCTGCCGGGATTAGAACCGGCGCCCATATGGGATCCCGGGCGTGCAAGGCGAGGACCTTTAACCACTTGCGCCACTGCGCCAGGCCCGAAAATAAATAATTTTTTAAAAGTCACTTATTTTTACTTAAAGATCCAAGTTACGGGGGGGGGGTGGGGGTGGAGAAACAGAAAATCTTTCATCTGCTGGTTCACTCCCCCAAATGGCTGCCACAGCCAGAGCTGAGCCGTTCCTAAGCCAGGAGCCAGGAGCTTCATCCAGGTCTCCCACGTGGGGGCAGGGCCTCAAAGTTTTGGCCATCCACCACTATTTTCCTAAGTTGCAAACAGAAGCCTGGATGCAAAGTAGCACAGCTACTTTGAATCGGTGGTCATATGGGATACTGGCACTGCAGGTGGAGGATTAGCATTTCTGCACTGTTGCGCTGGCTCTTACAATTTTGTGGTTGTTAGGGAAAAAGAGTTCATAATTTTAGTGCTAGGCTTACTTACTTTTTTTTTTTTTAAGATTTATTTATTTTACTTGAAACTAAGAGTGAGAGGATGGGACACAGGATGGATTTTCAATCCATTGGGTCACTGCTTAATTGGCCACTGGGTCACTGCTTAAATGGCTGTAGCTGTGCTGGTCTGAAACTAGGAGCCAGGGGTTTCTTCTGGGTCTCCCATGTGGATGCAGGGTCCTCAGCACTTGGGCCATCCTGCCCTGCTTTCTCAGACCATTAACAGGGAGCTGGATTGGAAGTGGAGCACCTGGGACTTGAGTCCACAGCACAAGTGGAGGTGGAAGCTTACACTTCTATACAACAGAACAGCCCCAGGTCTAGACTTTAAAGTTTTTATATATTTTTTTAGAAAAGTTTGAATTTGTCATGCAGTTTTAATTGCCTACTAGAAAGAATGTAATTAATATTTCTGAAAAATAACTGAAATCGTCTTTTTCAGGGTAATCACTTTGATCAGTATGAGGAAGGACACCTGGAAATCGAGCAGGCATCACTCGACAAGCCTATAGAATCGGTAAGCTGATCAACACTTAATTTGGGATCTTAGCCCGTTAGTTAGGTAGTGTTCGTGTGACATTTGATGTGAATGAAGTTAAACTCACTGATAGTGCAGTTTAGAGCTGTTTTCTTGCATGTTCTACAGTAATCAGTTTGGGGTGCAGTGTAATACCTGGTATGTTGGGGAAAGAGTCCAAAAAAATCTAGAAGAAAATCAGAATTTTGGTCAAAAAATACTATTTTGATCCATACTGATAGTCTATTAAAGATAGCAAGTTAAAGTTTAGTGTTTCTTGTAAATTGAATAAAGGAGTAAAATGTATTTTGATCCTTTGGTGGGGTCACCTTTCCTGGCCAAGATACTTATATATGCAGTGTTCCACTAGAAATAATTAGAGTGATAAGTTTTACTTAATAGACCCTTGTGAAACAAAATAAACTCATATGTAGCTTAAGAAATGTCTAGCTTTTTAAAAAAATGGATTCTTTCTGTCTTTTCATGCTACTTCAGGACATTAAAGCAATGAAATAAGATTTCTGTATCCTGGCCCTTAATTTTTACACTTGATCTAAGCCAAAAGGCCAAGAAGACATGGCTCTTAATTGTTAGAAGACCTTCTCAACTTGAACATTATTTCCACTTTAATGAATATGTTACTTAAAATACCTGGCTCTGTTATTAAAAAGTCTGAATTTGTTGTTACTGTCAGCGTTTAATATTTGTACCTAAGTGTACCTAAACATCTCAGCAACTTACAAGAAAAATGTGAGTGGGGGAAAAGTAGCCAAGAGGAAAGCTTAGTCATTATGCACTTCAGGATGAGAGCCATCACCCACCCCTGCTCCATGCAGAAGTGCTAGGGCCTTTTCTCTCAAGAAAATAAGGCTGTTTAGAGAACAGGTGTTTTAACTTTAGCTTTTATTTTCAAAACTAATATGGTAAAGGATCAACATATATTTATGTTCCTAACTAGGTTGGTGTTGTGTGTGTTTGTGTGTGTGTTTAGATGTTTACAGAAATTTACACAACTTGGGGTGTTCGACATTTTTCTTCCACAGCAGTTGGCCCATATTAGCTAAGCAGCCATGATCTGGTTTGTATTGCACGGTCTGCCTTTTTTTAATTTCTTCTCTAGGGTTTCTTTCTCCCCCACCTTCCCTTCTTATTTCTGTCCTTCTGGTCCAGTGAACACTGCATATAGTACCTTCTGTCTTAATGTGCTGGCATGATGCTAGACTTAGGCATGGCAGTAATTGATGGCGCATGTGATAATGCTGCAGAGGGAGAATTCGCATCTGATGTTGTGCTGAAAGTCTTGTGTTTTGACAAAAGGGTAAAATGCCAAGCCCTCTTTGCTAAGTTAAAAAACAGTGAAATTTGTGATTTGGTCATACAATCTTGGGAACTGTCCCAAGACAGTTTTATATGAAACCTTTAAGCTGCAAATATCCTGCACTTAAAAATAGTTTAGTTTTTTTCTATTTTAATGTGAATATTGGGCAGTGGGATCCAAAATTCAAGAACTGAGAACCATCAGAAGCAAGTCCCCAGTAACATTCTGCAAGTACATGGTTGGTAGTACTCTTAAGCAAGCTGCAATTCTGAGTACTCCAACTGAACTGTACCAGGACATTGAATTAGATTGAATTTGTGGTCTAATATTCATTATTGCTATACTCAACAAAAAATATTTTTGAAGATTTTGTTTTTATTATTAAGGCAGTTCAGATTTATAGAGAGAAGGGAAGACAGAGAAAAATCTTCTGTCTGCTGGTTCACTCCTCAAATGACCACAATGGCTGGAGCTGAGCTGATATGAAGCCAGGAGCCAGGAGCTCCTTTCAAATATCACAATGTGGGTACAGGTTCTAAAGGACTTGGGCTGTCCTCAACTGCTTTCCCAGGCCACAAGCAGGTAGCTGGATGGGAAGAGGAGCAGCCAGGATATGAACCAGTGCCCGTATGGGATCCCAGTGCATGAAGGACTTCAGCCACTGGGCTACCATGTTAGGCCCCATAGTTAACATTTTTAAAACCTCTTCATTCCTGTGGCATGTGAGGCTAAGACTGTTGTACCTTCCAAAATGGCCAGGATCTTTTTTCCCACCATATGTCATGGGAAGAAATGTTAGAAGATAGTGTAATTGCTTATTGTAGAGAAATATCAATACATAGAAGCAGGATGAACATGTTTTATTTATTAAGCAGTGCTTCTCCTTAAATAGCAAATAGTGTAGTACTCATTGGGAAATTTTTTTTAGTAAGCGTTATGTTTAGAAATATACATTATATTAGTAGATTATGTTCCTAATGAAAATTTGCTCCTAAAGCACATTAAGTGTATATGTTATTTGTGATGTGATACCGAAGGTAGTAGGAGGAGTTGATTAGAAGTAGGACACAAGTAGGAGGGATTTTATTTCTGCTAGCTAATCATTTGGGAATACAATCTTAATTTTAAAGGAACTATTAAAGTGGTTGGCATCAATGATGACAGTGTTCTAACCTTTCCCCTCTGGAACACAAGTCCCCCATCCCTTACGGAATGCCCACCACACAAGTCTACTTTGGGTTATACGGCTGGCTGGCTATCTTGAACTGTTTTGTGCTTAGGGGAAGTGTTGTTTGTAACACAGTCTGTTGGATCAAAATCTTTCTCTGCAGCAATATCTGTTGAGAGGTGCTGACTGTTTTGCTACAGCATGCAACTCAAAAGTGGCTGGAAATATGCAGCTTTGGGAGTCTACAGATCACGGCAGGAGCTAAAGGTCTAGTCATTTGTTTTTATAACAAAGGTAATCTACGCAGCTGGTAACCTTGAAAGTCTGCACAGATTTGTGTCAAGAACATGCCTGTGTGAAAGTTTATTGTGAGTATAGGGTTGAGGTCTTTTTGTAATAGGGCAGATTTGATGCAGCCCAGCAAGTTGGGAAATGAGATTCAAAAATGCAATAATGCAGTGTGTGTTTAATGAGCTTCTGAAACCTAGATTTGCTAGAGGGATGATATAAGTAATTTCAGTAGGCAAATATTAAAAACACAAAATTGAGCATTTATAAAGTATTTAATGATATTTGCTATAAAGTTTTATTTTCCATTCTTCATTTCAACCAACAGTTAAATTTTCAGTTAAATTTATTGTCAAGAACAAAGTGCTTTGCTAAGAAAAATATGAGAGTTGCTAGATAGCTTGTTACTAAATTTGAGGAGTTATCCTTATTTAAAAAATTTTTAAATCTTTGTTGTTTTATGAGATTTTTAGGTTCCAGCCATTGTAAATTAAAATATTTAGCTATTATAGATAAAATATTTAGAAAACAGGATTTGTTATAAAATCCTAAGCCTGTCTAGGATTCCCCCGTAGGAGAGTTGGTTGGTGTGATTTAGGATATGTGGTCCTTTATGACCTTTATCATAGTTAGAGGCTGAGGAATCTGATGAGAGAATGAATGATTTTAACCTATGCAGAAAGCAGAATGCTTGCATCATAGACTCCAAATGTGCTCGCACTTGGAAGTGCACCTACCCATCAGCTGTTAGTTGGTTTCAACTCTACCTGACTAATTAATAAAATTCTGTCTTCATGGCTGTCTTCCTAGTCAGGTCGATTTAGGGTAGGTTTAAAAAATTAGTTTAAGTTTCAAAACTCCAGTTGCTGATGTTTAGTTGCTTATTTTGGGGTTTAGAAGTATACGTATAATTGGTTGTATGTCATGTTGCATATCTGTTTAGATCTGTGGACTCCACTAGTTCCAAACTGTAACTCTATAATAGACTGCTGATTTGACATTTAGCAGTGACCATTTGTGGCCTGCACTATAAATAACGTGCTTCTTGGAGCTGAATGGTGTAGCATTACTATATGCTTTTTTTCTCTCTAGTCTTCATTGTGTCATCTGTAGTGAGTTATAGATTTTTTATTTTGGGAATTTTTACTACTTGTTTGCATGGGTTCACTTAGTAGCATTTGGTTCTTGCTTACAGAATCTTCAATACACAATCAGCAAAGCTTACAATCCACTCAAGAGACATTGTTTTTGTCACTGTTGAAAATGGGCCAAATGATTGTAAGTTGAATTTGGCTGTCAGCTAAAAGAAATTCAGGGAGGAATTAATATTAATCCACTCATTGGTAAATTCTGAATATAATGTTTTTTAAGACATGATTTTATTTATTTATTTATTTTAAAGAAAAGAACCCTATTCAACAAGGTACATTTTATCTGTATATTGGTGGGCTCCTATCATTACACGTTGAAACCCTCGCCAGCAGAATCATTGTCAAAAATGGTGTACAATTTCACTGGGGCAGAAACAAGTTCCTGGGAAAAGTTTTCTATTTGATTCTAATTATTAAGAAATAAATATTTTGGGCCTGGTGTGGTAGCCTGGCAGCTAAAGTCCTCACCTTGCACTCACCTGGATTCTGTGTGGGTGCTGGTTTGTGTCCTGGAGGCCCCACTTCCCATCCAGCTCTCTGCTTGTGGCCTGAGAAAGCGGTTGAGGATGGCCTGAAGCCGTGGGATGCTGCACCCACATGGGAGATCTGGAAGAAGCTCCTGGCTCCTGGCTTCTGATTGGCTCAGCTCCAGCCATTGGGGCCCTTTGGAGAGTAACTCAGCAGATGGAAGACCTTCTGCTCTGTCTCTCCTCCTCTCTGTATATCTGATTTTCCAATGAAAATAAATAAATCTTAAAAAAAAAAATAAAAATTTTGAGAAATGACTAAAACAGTGAGGTTTTGTTTTTGTTTTTTAGTTCAGTATGTTGTTAGTTTTTATAATAGACATTTCTTGTTTTCAAATATCTTCCTATTTAAAAAGTATGCTTCTCTTTTCCCACATAATAGAGAGGAACAGATATTAGAGGTAGGACATTTTACCGATGCCTTTTACATTTAGACATAGGAAGAAAAAATAAAGGCCCACAGTTAATCTGATTGGGAAAACAATTGGGGTTTTCAGATCAACTCTAGTTTATCTGAATTTAGAACTTCATTTCCAACTGAAGAATATTTCTCACTGCCACCAAAGTGTAACAAATGAGGTTGTTTGTGGGAATTCTTAAGAATTATGTGGAAAGGGCCCGGCGCGGTGGCGCAAGTGGTTAAGGTCCTCACCTTGCACACTCCGGGATCCCATATGGGCGCCGGTTCTATCCCGGCGGCTCCACTTCCCTTCCAGCTCCCTGCCTGTGGCCTGGGAAAGCAGTCGAGGACAGCCCAAAGCTTTGGGACCCTGCACCCGCGTGGGAGACCCGGAAGAGGCTCCTGGCTTTGGATCGGCATAGCATCGTCCGTTGCGCTCACTTGGGAAGTGAATCATCGGATGGAAGATCTTCCTCTCTGTCTCTCCTCTCTGTTTATCTGCCTTTCCAATAAAAAAAATAATAAAAATAAATCTTTGAAAAAAAAGAATTATGTGGAAAACTAACTTTTTTTTTAAACTAGCCATTTATTTACTTGAAAGGTAGAGTTACAGAGAGGAGAGAGACAGAAATACAGGGCTTCCATCTGCTGTTCTGTGGCCTCCCCCATCCCACTCCACCTCACCCCACCATGGCTGCAAACGGCTCGGGCTGGACCAAAGCACAGCCAGAAGCCAAGAGATTCCTCTGCATCTCCATGAGGTGCAGGGGCCCAAGCACTTGGATCATCTTCTTCTGCTTTCCCAGGTACATTAGCAGCGAGCTAGTTCAGAAGTGGAGCATCTGGAACTCAAACTGGGTGCCCATATGGGATGTTGGAGCTGCAGATGGCAGCTTAGCCTGAAACTCCACAATTCTTATCCTGGGAAAACAGTTTTTTGCTCACCATCATTGCACAAAATTCGGTTAGCTTATTAACAAAAATTAGGATTTTATTGCCTTCCTTCTATGTACATTTAAATTGTAGGTAGCCTACTGCTATCAGTTGTCTTGTTCATTGTAAACCAGATTGACTTTTAACATTTTTTAAATTTATTTTTGGTTCTATGAGATTGTAATTAAACCTTAAACTATTTTACTTGAAACAAACATATAGACTTTAGTCACTATGTGACTAAATTTTTTTCCCCAATAGTAAATTATTTTAGAGGTAAATTTTAGTACTCGTTGCCCCTATTCTGACTTCATTCCCTGTTTGAACTGTATGTTAGTTGTGCCAACTTCCTATTATAAATAACATCCATGGAAACAACTGGCAGAATGACAACCCTAAACAGATTCCAGGTAATCATTCCAGTGGTAGACAAGGCCACTTTGTTGGAAGATGTTCTCATATGCCTGCCTTGATTGACTGTCATCCTTATGCTGTTTTTAGTTTTTTTTTTTTTTTAAACTTGGAAGTCAGAGTTAAAGATAGAGAGATCTTTCTATGCACTGGTTCACTTCCCAAATGGCTGCAGTGGCCAGAGTGAGGCTGATCTGAAGCCAGGAACTTCTTCTGGGTCTCCCACACAGGTACAGGATCCCAAGGACCTGGGCCATCCTCCACTGCTTTTCCAGTAAAGCTGGATGGGAAGTGGAGTAGCCGAGATATGAACTGGCTGCCTTATGCAATGCCAGCCTCTTACGCTGATTTTTGACAAGTGGTTATAAAATCTCTCTCTCTCTTTGTACTTGTAAGATCCATACTCAATATTAACTTTTTCTACAGTCACTCCCAAAATAGGTAATTTAAGGATAAGGAGTGTTCAGATTCTGTGTTTCAGGCATTCCTTAACTCTAGGAGGCTAGAGAGGAACACAGGGCTGGGAGTCATCTACTGTCCCTGCTGCCTTTGTTCTATGTGCTTGGAGGGATTCAGAGTGGCACTTTAGTATTTTAATGTTGCCTGTAGCATTTCATTCTGTATTAAATCCAGGAAAGCAGCTTTAATTAAAGAATAAATTTTAGCTTAGAGATGTAGAAGAGAAAGGCTGTGATGTGGTATCCATAGTTTTTTTTGAGAAGGTGACAGCCATTCTCTTGAGTGGTTTTGTAAAAGTGGTGCTAATGTGTATAACCCTCAGTTTTTCTTTTTCCCCCCTCTCCCTGTAACATTTGCTTTTCCTTTCACTGTTGTCAGTCACAACACGCTGCTCTTGAATCTCTCAGCTGGTCTTGACTCGTGAATTTACTTAATGCTTTCACTCTTTAATAAATACATTACTTGCAAGCAGTGAATTGAAAACAAGACAAAAAAAAAAAAAAAACGACCATTAGTGATCGGACAGTTTCTTACTTTGTGTTACATTTAACTGTTCTTTTGACAGCCCAGTTTTTAAAGCCAGGTTCGTATGGAAATGCTTTCACTCCACTTGCACTGCTTTTGGAAATAGCATACTGCTTCATCTGTCTGTTTATTTTAGTGCATTCATAATATAACACAGTCAACATAATGTCTCATCTCCACTTAGCCAAAGATTGCATTTCCTTAAAAAATATGGGGGGAGCACAACAATTTTTGTCAGCATTGTTTAATATGTAAGTCTTAGTGTTAATTTGTGAAGAGTTTAAGCAATAACTTAACAAATGCATACTATTAGCTTTCATTCTTCTATTCTTAGTTTTCCCCTTGCTATTCTTGTCCTTTCCAGGGTTAGTCAGTTGTAAGAATTATTTTAAAAAAAAGGTTTTGTATACAGGTAAGTTTATTTCATAGCAGAAAAACAAAGATTTCTTTTCCATTTATATAAATAATGTTATTACTGATATTGAGACCTTTTTAATAGCATTTTTTAAAGATTTATTTATTTTTATTTGAAAGGCTGAGTTACAGAGAGTGGGGGACAGTCAGAGAGAGAGATATCTTCCATTCACTGGTTCACTCCCTAAATGACCACAACACATGGATGTAGGCCAATCTGAAGTTAGGAGGCAGGGGCTTCTTCAGGTTGTCCCACATGGGTGCAGGCGCCCAAAGACTTGGGCCCTTGTCTGCTGACTTCTTAGGCACGTCAGCATTGGAAGTGGAGCATCTGGGCCTTGAACTGGTGCACACGTGGAATGCTCCAACCATGGTCAGAGGCTTAGCCTGTTTTGACACAGTGCTGGCCCCTAGTCTTTTTTTTTTTTTTTTTCTTTTTATGTAATAAAATTAAATACACAAGTTTAATATTGAGTAAGGAGTACTTTTTCATGGCAGTTTAAGGGAGAAGGGCAGCAGCAGCAGTATTGGATTCAGTTTCTGTGCTGGCTGTCGTGGAGGTTATTATTGGGGATTTCACATACCAAATCAACAGGAAAATGAATCAGAAGCAGAGCAGCTGGGACTCAAACCAGTACTCCCACGGGCAGGTGTGAGGCTTAGCTCAGCGTGCCGGAACACCAGTATTATGTCGTTTTTGTTTTTTAAAAAAGTATTCTGATTTTTCCCTTCTCTCTCCACCCCATCAATGAAATAATCAGCTTCTCAGCCCAGTGTTCAGTTTGTATGCTGTCATACATAAACTTGTAGGAGCAGATTTCCTTTATACAAGTGCAGAACTCTGAAGAACACTGGGAAGCTTAATCTCTGTTCTAACTTTCTGTCAAGGAAGATAAGGACAAAATGTTTTTCTTTCCTCTGTGACTTCAAAGTGCATTTTATCGTTGAATATGGGACTAGATGACAAGTAGTTCAATATGTATTATTAAAGACTGAGAACTGGACAAAAGACACGAAAGTTTGTGATATCTTGAGCCTTCCACAAAAGCTGACACTTAATTGTTGTTTCTGGTGTCTTTTCATGTAACTGACTTTTGAGATCCCTTTGCAGTGCACTTCTGGGAAGATGAGACATTATGTATATTGTTTTTCCCCTACATGCACTAATGGTTCTTTACTGTTAACTTACTGCTAGGCCTGTTTCATTCTAACATCTTAGCATTTTTGTTAGATTACATGTTGAAATGCATCACTCAGTCTGTGCTTGAGCTCATTTTATTTTTCTGTTTAATCAATTTAATTTATTGTTTTACTAACCTCACTGTATTTTCAGTTTAATATTGGCTGCATGCTAGTTAAATATTTATATATTTTTATATATATATGTATTAAAAACCAATCAAGTCTAGCCTGGATTTTGCTCTGATTGTTTCTTTTTGTTTGTTTGTTTTTTTCATTTCTAGTGGTGGGACAGTCTTACACTTACAACTTACTTTGTATCATGAAAGCCTGACACAGAAATAGAGTAACTAAACACAATGTAGATTTTCTTAAAAAAAAAAAAAATCTTCAAGTGGTGCTGTCTAGGTGGTGGATATGATTGTATAAATACCTTGATTTTTATGCTTTTTAATGTTAGTTTTAAAACTTCATAAATGTACTCCCCTCCTCCTCCCTTTGCCCTTTATCTCCTTTTGAAAATGTCATGTTAAAGAGTTGCCCCGCACACCATCAGAAAGGACCCATACCCTATACCCTTCCCATAGAAAATACCAGCCAGCATTTCTTTTTACACTGATGTCCCTTTGATTGGGCACATTTACCCTATTATTAGCACCTTTTTGCATGCATGTATGTAGAATGACCTCTTGCTCATCACCTGTTTAAATGTCACTAGGAAGGGAAGAATATATTATTGGAATATTTTTGGTTTGTCTCTCTGTTCTGTCTGTCAGGATAATATTGGACACCGCTTACTCCAGAAACATGGGTGGAAGCTGGGCCAGGGATTGGGAAAATCACTTCAGGGTAAGTTTCAAAAAATCACTGAAGAAAGTGAGCAGCGCTTCTGCTGCACATCTGGTACCTGAAAACCTGTGTGTTGTCTTTTAAAAAAATGTTTGGTGTTTCCTCCCCATCTTCCCCTACTCCTAGAATAGTCTGTTTTTTGTTTGTTTGTTGTTTGTTTGTTTCAAATGGCTGTATTTTAACAGTTAATTTTTGATATTTGTCAGTAATTCACGGGAGTAAACTGCTGTGTTATTAAAATTGTAGATCAGAGATACTGTGTGTGGCTCAACTATGTGCAGTTTTTTGGTGGAGGCAGTGGGTGGCTTGAATGAGCGCGACGCCCAGTGCCAGGGTGGCTTTCTTGGTGCTGTTTGGCAATACTGGGTTGTGGCTTCAGTATTACAAAGAGAACCATCCACCACAGAGTTTAACTTTTGTTCTTCCAGATTCTCCCTGACAGCTAATGATTGCCTTAGCTCTTTTCCTCTAATACCAGAGTATGTAGTGATCAAGACGCATGAAGCAAAACTGAAGGCTGAGGCTTTCTTGGGTGCTCCAAGCAGAGAGGCCATTTCTCAGGTTCCTGTCAGATTCTAGAGAGTCTGTGGCTTGACATTTTCCGTTGTATTTATGCTTCCTTTTAACTGTACTAATTATTAAAAATGAAATGTTGATTTTTCTTCTGAGTTCCTGCTGGTTGGAAGGCAGCCAGCTGCATTTACTTTAGTTCTTAGGTTCAAGAGCTGCTGTATCTTTGCAGATATAGTGTGCATCTATTTTAAAAGTGAGGAAGCATTGTGCATTGACCTCTGTTTCTGGAGGGACTCATTGTATGCAGGGGTCTTTGGGGAGCTGTGTGCTGCTATTGGCTAATAATTCTATGGATTGTGAGAATGAATTGTTACAATTTGAATGCAGGACTCTCACCAGTTCAAGCTGTTAAAGGACCAAGCAGACAGGTCATGAAGTAGAACTTCACAGTCACTAAAACCTTTTCTTTTAAAATTCTTCTATAAGTTGTATTCAGCTGTGATCCATACGAGATACTCAAGAAGCATATTTTGATTATGTATTTGTTACTAAACATTAACCTATTTGGGGGTGGATGGGAGGGAAATAGATTTAATTACTGTTGTGGTATAAGAACTTTTCACTAATAGTACAAATACTATTAGGATTAAGATCATCATATTATCGAGGAGACTTTAAGAATCCACAAGGAATAGCATGATCAGGAATTAAATAGAAATGTCTTCTGCCCTTCCCTTATTTGATAAAGAATAGAGATTTACTTAGCTCATGGCTGTAAAAATTGAAAATCTGAGAGTGAGGCACCAGCACCTGAGTTGGGTCTTCTTCCTGTGTAATAGCATAGCAGGAGCTTTGCATGGTGAGACAGAATGACTTTAACAAATTTCTTCCAGTGATTTCCAGAGTTCTAGGTGTTGGGATGAATTAAGTAGAGATGATTGTTTAGAATAAGGTCCAAAGGTTGGATTTGCTCTTTCCCCAAGTTTCTAATGTCTCTTGCTATTCTGCCAGGTCCCAGAGCATTGTTGAGCATTAAATGTAATTGTAATTAAAGCAAGGAGGATGTATTTCATGAGGCTGACAAATCTGTGTGTATTCCAGAATACTGTATACTAAGCATCAGAAACTTGAAAGTACGACAAACCTGTGGAGAGGAGGGAGAGAGAGGGGAAAAAAGTGTGTGTTGTATGTGTTTAAAAATAGATAGATAATAAAATGCTCAGCTACTTTAGATGATCCAAAATTACTATTAATCTGTTTTTAGAACAGTTAGAATTTCTTTAAAGTTACTTGAAAGGAAGAATTAGATTATTTCCACTTCTATGGTAGTAGGCACATAGGAAACATTCAGTAATTCATAAATTTGTTATTCATTGGAAAAGTTTAAGAGAAATTTGAAGCATATTAAATTTTTTCTTTCTAATTGTGATTAAAACTGCACAAAGTCTGCCATCTTAACCAGCTTTTTGTTGCGTTTTTCAATAATTTTAAGTAAGTTCACATTGTTGGTAGAAAGTCTATTTTGAATGACTTATCCCTCTGTCTACTGTTTGGAAAGAATAGATCTTACTCTGTTTTCAACATTAAGAGCCAAGTTAAATTTTATAAATGCCTTCTTATTTCCTAGTGTACAGGCATTGTGCTAATTTATCCACCCACCTGGGTACATAATACATAACTACATTTATGATCTATTGAGGCAGATTTTTCTCCCTGTGTACCAAACCTTTGCTATAAATAACCACTGGAAAAACACCTCTTGGAATAGTGGAAGTTATAGTGTCTCTTTGGTGTCATAAAGATTGGTTGCTGCATATACTTTTCTAGGTTCAAACTTACTAAGTTCTTTGCACTTACTAGTTTATTGTCAAGATTTAGTTCTTTTATTTGGATTTAGAACTGGGTAACAGACCCTATATATGACCATCTACTGAAATTTTAACTGTTTTGTATCAGGTTTTTGGGGGTGGGGGGGTAGATCAGTAGTTTTAAAATTATTTCGATTCTACACAGCACTTGTATTCTGCCAGTCCTTGGATCTCTGTTGTTTAAGTTATTTGTGGCCAGGTGTAAAATTGTATTTTGTAAACTGGGTTTATTTGATTCCTGAGTTTTGGGGGGAGTCACCTTTTATTCTCACTTAGAACTTATTACAGTATTTTGACAGTTTAGAAAGGAATTTTTAGGGTATGTGGCAGATAACTGGTTGTTACTACTAAAAATAAAAGATCTGTAGGAAAGATATCCAAAAATTATCTCCTGAGGCGAATAACACAAAGGAAGCTCTGTTGGTAAGAGATAAACAGTAACTATTGCAGAGACAAAAGATGTGTTTAATTTGGAAAAAAAGAACACAGAATCATAGCTGTATTTTGCATCAGTTGGATTGAATTCAGTTCTGGAAATTGTTTTTTAATCTTTTGGCAGCTTTCAAATTTAATGGGATGTAGTTATAACTTTTTAATTTGGAATGTGTTCAGTCAGTGGTGTAGTCCAAAAATGGTGCCTGAATGTCCTTTGATACATTGTCTAAGAACAGCTTGATGGCTTAGCTGGCTCTTCCATAATGAACAAAAGTTCAACCCTTAGAAAAAATGAATGGAATCTGATATTATTTTATATCTCCTCCTTCTAAAAGTTCAGGCAACCAGCAAATATTTAGTGAGTTGATAATGTGTTATACTGGCTGTAAAGGAGCATAAGATGTGGATAGAGTAGACAGGATTCTTCTGATAGTCTCCCATGTTTTGCTTTTTTACAGTAGTGTAAAGCCAGTTTTTGTTTATTTTTAAGATTTATTTCTTTTTTCTTTTAAAAAAGATTCATTTATTATTATTGGAAAGGCAGATATATAGAGAGAAAGAGAAACAGAAAGATCTTCCATCTGGTGGTTCACATCCCAAGTGGCCATAACAGCCAGATCTCAAATGGATTCCAGTTCGTGTCCTGGCTGCTCCATTTCCCATCTAGCTCCCTGCTAGTGGCCTGGAAGAGCAGTGGAGGATGTCCCAAAGCCGTGGGACTCATGTGCATGTGGGAGACCTGGAAGAAGCTTCTGGCTGCTGGCTTTGGATCAGTTCAGCTCTGGCCATTGTGGCTCTTTAGGAAGTGAACCAGTGATGGAAGATCTAAATAATGTATTAAAAACATAAACCTGTGTGTTATGGAGTATACATATAAACCACACTATAAGGGTTTTTTTTTTAAAGATTTATTTATTTTTATAGGAAAGGCAGACAGAGAGGAAAGATATTCTGCCTGTTAGTTCACTCGCTAATGGCCTTAATGGTTGGAGCTTTAGGCGATCCAAAGCCAGGAGCCGGGAACTCCTGGGTCTCTTATGTCGGTGCAGGGTCCCTAGACTTTGGACCATCCTCCACTGCTTTCCCAGGTCACAAACAAGGAGCTGGAAGGTAAGTGGAGTAGCCGGGATTCAAACTGGTGCTCATATAGGATCCCTGTGAATATAAAATGAGAACTTAGCCACTAGGCTACTGTGCCAGGACCCAAGATTTATTCATTTTAATTGGAAAGGAAGAAGCACAGAGATAGAGAGAGAGAGAGAGCCTTCTATATGCTTTGGTTCAGTCCCCAAAGGGCCTGTCAGGAGGCAGGAGTTTCATTTGGGTTTCCAATGTGGGTTCAGAGTTCAAGGCATAGGGACATCCTCTGCTGCTTTCCCAAGCCATTATCAGGAAACTGGATAGTAAGTAGAGCAGGACAGAACTCAAGCCAACACCCATGTGGTTTGTTGGCACCACAGCCTGAAGATTAGCCTGCTGTACAGGCCCCGTGTGGTAGTGTAGCATTTAAAGTCCTCACCTTGAACATGCCGGGATCCCATATGGGTGCTAGTTTTGATCCCAGCAGCTCCACTTCCCATCCAGCTCCCTGCTTGTAACCTGGGAAAGCAGTTGAGGGTGGCCCAAATCTTTGGGATCCTGCACCCATGTGGAAGACCCAGAAGAGGCTCCTTGCTGCTGGCTTTGGATCCGCACAGTTCCAGCTGTTTTGGCTGCTTGGGGAGTGAATTATTGAACAGAAGATCTTCCAGTCTGTCTCTCCTCCTCTCTGTGTATCTCACTTGCCAACCAAAATAAGTAGGTCTTAAAAAAAGAGAGAGATTAATCCTGCTATACAATGGTACCAGCCTCAAGGCTAATTATGTACTTCTGTGTATTTGTACACTGAGATATCAGTACAAGAGCAATCTTACAATTTAATTGACAGGATGCTCTGCTGGATAATAGGGCTTTCTCATTTGTTTTTGTGTGAAAGTACTTGGTACAGGTTATGAAGCTGGAATATTTACATTGACAAATACAAGAGCAGGGTTTATTTATTTATTTATTTTATTGGAAAGGCGGATATACAGAGAGGAGAGACAGAGAGAAAGATCTTCCCTCCGATGGTTCACTCCCCAAGTGAGCGCAACGGGCCGACACTATGCCGATCTGAAGCCAGGAGCCTCTTCCGGGTCTCCCACG